TGAATTTTAAACAAGGGGCATTTATAAATCTCTAAACTTTTAACCATCAGCGTGTAACAGCTTCTAGGATGTTCCCCACCTTGTAATATTTAAAGCTATAATTCATCTCCATAAGAAATATGTAACTAACTCTCAAATACTGTTAATTATCTGCATGGACTGTGTTTCAGCATATGCCATTTCCAGCTACCAACACTGGACATTATGAAAGCTTTTACATGACATCAGCTTTCCAATGAGCAGCCACCTATAAAATACATAATTTTCAATCCACATTTGATTGTCACAGCTTAAAAATCCCAGGCTATATGAGCACTACAAATTGGTTTTTTGACTGTGCAGAGTGGAATAAAAGCCAAGATTTTGGGTTTGGCTTGTTGATATTTCCTGAAAACATGAAACAGTTCTGAAAGGACAGATTTGCTGGCTCACAGCTAAAGGTCAGCGGTCACATGGGGAGCACTCGCTAAGTGTACCAAAATGACTGGGAAGGAAAGACTGGCACAGCATTGCAGTATTATTAACAAGTGATTTAAGTGGAGGAAAAGGGGGGAAAGAGAGAGACAGACAAGGATTAAACTCTGAGCAAATGAGCTTTCATCAAGACTAGAAAGTCAGCCTTGTTCATTGCTGCTTGCAGCCCCTCACTGTCACTTGAAGCACCACTTGCTCTTGGCTTCCTCTTCCTAAACCCTTTGGCTCTGAATGTGACTGCTCTGACCAGGCAGCACAAACCAGCCCTCTGTACTTTTCTGCATAGTCCAGAGGTTTTTCTAGACTCACCTCTGTAAGAGATTATGGAGATACAAGTTTCACTTGGAAGGACAGGAGTTTGAAAGTCATAAAATCACAGACTGCTTTGTGTCGGAAGGGAACTTAAAATTCATGCAGTTCCAACCCCCTGCCCCGGGCAGGGACACCTTCCACTAGAGCAGGTTGCTCCAAGCCCCTGTGTCCAACCTGGCCTTGAACACTGCCAGGGATGGGGCAGCCACAGCTTCTCTGGGCACCCTGTGCCAGCGCCTCAGCACCCTCACAGGGAAGAACTTCTTCCTAATGTCGCATCTCAATCTCTCCTCTGTCAGTTTAAAGCCATTCCCCCTTGTCCTGTCCCTACAGGCCCTTGTCAAAAGCCTCTCTTCAGATTTCTTGTAACCCCTTTAGGCACTGGAACTGCTCTAAGGTCCCCCTGGAGCCTTCTTTTCTCCAGGCTGGACAAGCCCCACTCTCTCAGCCCGTCTCCAGCCCTCTTTGTCACACAAGTCCCATGACCGTGCAACACAGACATACAATTGTGTGGAATGAAAAAAAAAGCTCATTTTCCCAAAGAAGCTTCCCCAAACCTACTCAGTATTTAAAACTTGCTCTCAACACAATTCAAGAATCAAAGCACTTTACTGGCTAACTCCTGATCTGCCGCCAGCAGGGGGCAATAGGCAGTTCTCATTGCTTTCTTGAAACCATCTACTTGAATGAAGTCCCTTGTCAAAGTATTTAATTTTATAACAAATACCAGAAATTTCTCATCCACTGAAAACAAGCATATTCTGCAACTAAAATCTGAGGCATGTATGTTGGCAGCATCTATAAAACAATATTTAGTGCTAGTCTCAACAGAGACTGTCCCAGCTCCCTCCAAGACTCCCAATCTTGTTTTCATTTACACTGTATTTCATTTTAAAGTACGGACTATGTACCATTTTCCAGGCAAATAAACTGACCAAAACCAACCCAGCAGCACCCAGAAGGTTCCAGCCACAGGCTGTGCACCCAGGGAGCTACACCCCCCTCCCTGCCTGACCAAGAGCCCCAGGGCATCAGAATTAACAAAGATTTTGTGAGTATAATCCTGCTAATGAAAGTCCATTACTCTGACCTCAATGTCCTCCACAATATTGACTTATCAAAAGCATATGCTCCCATCACTCATGGTCTGCCTTTTTTGTAGAGCAAAATACCACCTTTTCAGCTGAAAGGTTTACAGCAAGCCAGTGACCACACGTGTAGCTCAAATCTGATGCCCCAACTCCTGTTAACTACAGTAAACTAAAGCTAAACAACAAATGCACTAGTAAGCAGCTAAGCAATACTTTAGGGTATTAAACTTTAAATTTAGCCCTAGCAGATCCTAGAGGAAGGGCATCCCAGAAGGCATGTGTTCTCTGCTATGCACCCAAACTATAGGATTCTATTCCACATATACCCCTTTTGAATATATGGCTATTCCTATCGTATTTCATCTGTATATTTTCTCTAAAAATACTTTGTATGAGATAAAGACACTCTGCTCTTGGCCACAAAGTGTTTGCCCCAAATGCAACCACTGAGATTGAAATAACAGGTAATTCCTTGCAATGGGACCAAGCTGTAGCTCAGAGCAGAGGCACTCTGACAATTTAGGGCTCTACAGACCAAAACCTGCAAGAATGAATTGTTCTCCAAAGCAAAATGTTGAACACTAGCACAAAGAATATTACTTCAGGGGCAGATTGCTGTGGTCTTGCTATTTTCTAGCTGTAGCTTCAGGGCAATTCACAAGTAGAGACTATTGCCTGTGATCAACAGTGAGATTACAGAAGCAAGATTTGCTGTGATGAATCTAAACAAGAGAACTCCAGGCCTAAAGTTCAATGTGCCACACCTGTTACCAGAGAATATATGCATAATCTAATCTCCAGGCTGAAAGTACTACAAGAAAGGGTTGGACATTCCTACACAGTGCAGCCTCCCCACACTCCCAAGGCCAAAAATGAAATCTCTAATAGGAAGACAAGCCGCGCTTGGACACCTCTGCAACCCCAAACCTTGCGGTCTGAGCTGCTGCTAAGGAAATCCAGCAAAATCAGGCATTCGATGCCAGAAAGACTAGAACTCATAAATCCCACATTAAAATACTCTTATTGAACAGCTCTCAACAGCACTACTTGCAAAAAGTCTTGTCACCTTTGAGATGCATCACATTAACTGGAAGACAGGGCAGTTTCAATGGCATTGTTTCAGGAGCTGAGGTGATTCTATTGCCTCACCACCAGAAGTCCCTTCCCTCAATTTTAAACCATCTGTGTAGTAGCTAAAGGAAAAAAATAGTAATGCTGCCTGTAGAGTCATGCTTGAAACTCACACACGATATGATTTTTCCTTTTTAAATCATGTCTTGCACGTATTATAAACTCTGTATTGATTGTAAGGGTTGTTAAGCAAACTAAAAAGATACAATGGGAGCGGGAGACAACTTCCTGCCCTTGTGGGCTCAAGTGAGGTTATTTCCACTACAAAACACCAATGATCTGTGCATTATGGTCTGTTAAAGGAAGACTTGGCTTATTGAACCCTTACTTTGTTTGATGCTTAAAAGAAACTCAGGTATGCACCACAGAAATAAAGCTCTATTTTTGTAAAATGCTAGGGAACAAAAACAAAGTCCCTACAGCTCTAACTGGCATCTCAGCACCAGCATCCCCCCTTTCATAGGCTTGATTTTGCTTATTACTGTTCTTATTGCTGCTGTTATTATAAATGTACCAAAACATCACTCAGTGATGTAATGTCTTACTCGTTCTTACAATCTTCCTAAACATTAAACCAGCTCTTCACTAGGCAGTTCCCGATCTTCCATATAATCCTCAAAGCTGCCATCAAGTTTTTCACTCTTACACTGACAGCTGTAAAACTATGTTCTTTTGAGCATCTGTGGCACAAATAAAAAGCAGATATACCAGCCAATGCTGCAATAGGCAGTGGAGAGAGAGGGTGCCAAGGCTGGTGGAGGTTCTGCATTAAGGACTGCATTTCGGAGGTCAGCGAGTGTGCACTGCGCCGGCTACACCAGGTCCCATTCAGATACAGGTCTGAGCAACCAGCATTTTAAGGCTCTTTTGAAAATCCTGGTTATCGCTTTTTAAGGCAGGTGAAAATAAATTAATTTTGAGCTTTTAATTAATTATTTTTTGAGCATTTTTCTGTGGTCAACCTTGGCCACACAGTTACAATGCATTTTGCAGAGATGCACTGCCTTTTCTTTTTCTGTAGTATAAAAGCACTTAATCTTGTTTGTCAGGCCTCTGAAGGTCAGGCTTATTTCTTTAGATCTATTATCTACTGCTTGAAATTTCCAGTTCTACCTTTATGGCTATTATAGCTTCTTTCTTCAACTCCTTTTCACAATAACTCCATATGATGACTGTTGATAAAGTTAGGAGGACTGTGATTCTAAATGTCTGACCTTCTTCAAAATCTGATAATGGATACAGTTTCTGAATCATAGGTCATCTCAATTTTGCCAATAAACCATTTATTTCCAGTGGCCTTCAGACCTTGAGGCTTACTGTGCACTGCAGATTGGATTCTTCAGGGAACAATAAAAGACAGCCATCCTTAGCCTTTGCTTAGCACATTAGGAGGGATACTGTACTTTAGAGAGTATGTCCCCAACATCTTACACATCACAGTTTCTAAGACCTTTACTGCTGTACAACATTTCCTATGTATGTATGAAGCTGAAAGTTATAAGCCTCTAACGTGAACTAACCTTTTAATTTGCAATCTATATGGAAAGAACAAGAAAAATCCAGGCCTCCTTAAACCCTCCCTATCTACTGTCGGCTATTCAGTCACCTCTACCATATTGTTCAACTTACAGCTTGAGGCATAGTGCCAAATTTTACATCACTACCTCAAATGTTACGCTGCTGTGGTAAGACCCGATTACAACACGCTTGTAAAAGCTGTGTCAGTGCCAAGATACACAATTTGTTGGTACAAGAGCCTGCCAGCCTCCTTCAGTGGCTTCACTGAAACAGTTCTCAAAATGACTTGATCTTGCAAAACACTGCCAGAGGTATAATTCCTGCT